GTGGTGGTGGTGGTGGTGATATTGGTGATCAATTTGGGGTTACGTTTCTGCGCTGTATAGCAGAACTGGCCGAACTGCCACAGCAGACACTTGACCCTTCACAGACAGCCGAATGTCGCGACGGTGCGGTAGATGTCTCAAGTTGGTAAGTGCCAACCGATCCTTCTGTGTGCCAGCCGACACTTCATCCGGGATTCGTCCACTGGGTGAGACATAGCTGCCCAAATAGCAAGACGTGTCCACTTGCTCTATTACTTTCCCATTTACAGTGAGGCTGGGCGCCGGAGCAACTCATTCTCGTGGCGACATTTCACACTTTGACGGTGTAAAACACATATCGAACTTGGCTACGCTGGCAAGCTTGCAACTTACCTACGTAGATCGTCACTTAGCAGTACAATGTCGTCCGCACACTCCAGATCAGACAGCCTATCAGCTGGCATTAAATCTATGCCACAATCCTCGCACGATGATAGGGCTGTTTCCATAATCAAATCCGTAAAAAAGTTAAATAGAAAACGAGATAGATGGTCATCCCGACGAATGCCTTTTCCCGTGGTGAACTCGGGCGAAAATGTGTCACAAGCTCAGACTCGACTTCGGCTATTGGTATAAAGCGATCGCAGTGTTGAAATGAACTTCTCAGACACACCCTTCCACGGAAACGCTCAGTGTCAGTGTTCAGAGCGGGTGGCTAAGTCGAAAGTCAATTTCAGATCGAGTAAGACAGAGATGGCGAGTTTAAGAAAAGAATTTAGGTGTTTCCGAATTTTGTGAAGAATGAACTTGTGGTCAATATAATCGCGACCAGGTCTAAACCCAGCCTGGTTTTTACCGGTGCACCGTTAATATGCGATAGACAATCGATGGAGTATGATGCCAGTGAGAAGTTTAGAGGCAATGTCAAATAAACTAATCCCTCTATGGTTTTCATATGAGGGTCTGTTGCCTTTTTCGTAAATCGTTAAGATGACCAATTCACACCATTCAGTTTACTCTCCCTTGTCAACCCCGAAAGTTTTGTCCACTCCAAGACTAATGCTAAATTTCCATCCTTAAAAGTCGCTGAGACTTATCCTTCTGGGTCGGAGGTCTTATCACAATAAATATCACTATGTTCATATATATCGAAGTAGTTCATATTATGGATTATGGATTAAACCGTGCCTCGTGCTCGTCTTATCGGATCCAATCGGGAGATTTATATTAACTAAGAAGAACGAAAAAAACTCCGTTTTATGCACTGATCTGTAAACTATGAGATTCAAATCATTCCTGAGCTCTCATTTATAGTCCTCGTGTTTAGAAATCTTAACATCGGATTGAATCAAAATGGTACCTTTATGACTTTTTTCCTGCCCAATTTTCTCCATGTTCTTTCCTTTATTGTCAGTTCAATGCGATTCATAATCTCAGTACTGTCAAGCAAATTTCGGTCCCAATTCGTATGGTTTATTAAAATCCGACAATATTATGTTTGAGCATATTATACATACATTCAAACTCAAGCGATTTCCGTGCTCACCTCATCTTTTCCGCGTAGCATGAGCAAATCCCGCTGTGTTAGACCGTACTCCGTATAGATATTTGGTTGTATCACAGATCTGACACCTGCCTCGTCTCCGTAATCCTGTTTATCGTGACTGGTTCGATTCTGAATCCAAGAGGAAAGAGAGTGATACTTTTGCGTTTGGAATCTAGCGACTAAACTGGGCACAAACCTCAGACAAACATGTGAACTCATTGACCGTTCAAACTGTGTTCGACTGACAATCTGGCACTTGAAAAGGATTCCCTATTGTTCTGAGAGACAGAGATGGTCCGAGACTGGTTTTCCGCTTTCAGCAGTGAAGGCCATGGATTGAACGAACACAGCTGTTATTGAGGTGGATTGAGAGAAGCTTTCGAGGTCAAAAACACACACTTAACCTGTGTGTGTTTTCACCAGAGTCTTGTTGCACGGATATTTTGCATCTTGATAATTCCATTGCAGTATAACTGTTTTTGGCGCTTAAAAATTATTCCAAGTAGTTGGTAAAAGTTATGTAATGTAGCTATGCGTATATAGATCGTAAGTAGGTTCCGTCTTACAGTCTTCACATTGAGTGTAGGCATTTTCAGGAACAGGTTGGGTTGTTCACGTGGAACAAATTACGCAATCTGGGAGAGTTTCAATCATGTTGGCTCGAAATTGCACGACCGGGATATCCCACCTGAAACTAGTATGTACAGAGGTTGACTTAAACGGATAGGTACCGCTACAATAATGGCTTATTCCTTGATTTTGAGAGCACGAATTAACATATCTAGTCCTAAGAATACGTTTTGCAGGCCGTTCGAATATGGTTTACACTTGATGCTATTGTAGCGAGAAGGCGGGTTGGCTGGGAAAAACGTCTATTGATCCAATTCAAAAACAAACAGTGTATGCGTTCGATTATATACAGTCAATTCTAAACCGCGCGGCGGGATGATTCATGCATCTTTCTGTCTGTCATTCCTTGTTGGTTTTGGTCCGCACTTGGCACGTACGTTACCTCTTCTTCCGCGTGCCATTCCGACTGGTTTGACCCGATCGCGGCGCGAGATGCGTTGATCGACAGCTTCAACGTTGTGGCATTCGGTGGATATCTTTTCCTTTAGCAGCGGATTGTCTGTCGGGTTGTAATCGTCGATTCGCTCGTTTCGGGTGGCAGTCAACATTGTCTCGCGAGGCACTTCCCGCCGCTGCGTCTACGTGTCTGGTCGGATAAGCCCCATTCTTGATTCGGTCGATAGCCAAGACTCTCTTTGTACTGCCTTCCATCATACTATGATCTGAATATATTGTTTTTAGTAGCGTGCAGATAAGTACATCAACTTGCCTATGTCTTTCCAACGAATGTTTTGTACTGGACCATTAGATGGTGACCGACAATCGTTTGTGTAGTCCTGGTCTTGTGCGAGCGTGAATGTTGGTAGCAAATTCTGACACATTATTTGAATTATTATTGTTCGAATTGCTGTTTGACAGATTTGTAGTTTTTATGTCTATATTGTGAAAAGTTCAGTAGGCTCGGTGGGATTCGAACCTGCGTATGGACATCGCCTACGCCTTTGTACAGCATACGCTCTACCAGCTCAGCAAGGAGATCACATGAACCGTTATTATTACTTAAATTCATATGTATTATTAGATAGAAAATATATAATTTACTATGTGCTTTATCGTAATGCTTAGTTGCTTATCAGATAATCAAATAAAAACAGGACTCAGTGGAATATATCGTACAAATCGACATTTAGAGTTGCCGATTATCAAAGGTTATTGATTAATAGAGAGAAGACTGAAAAACGGCTTATCAATAAAGTCTTCCTTTGTGGTGTAGCGGTCGAAAATTTTCTAATCAGATTACAATGGTAGAATAACACGCGATTCATGAAACCACAGCTTTTCTTACGATTATTCACTCTTTACTCGTAGTTTCATAGCCTTCAGGTTTAGTAATATATTAGCTTTTCCATACAGTTGTTTTGAAACCCTGAGTAGTACAACAACAGTTCAAAACAACCAGACCTTATTCAGTATCCCCTACCAAAGTTATACGTTAATATTTCCCAAGGGGGTGGCTATAGTTAGTGAGTATAATGTACAGGTATCTATAATGTGCACGTTCTAGACACGGTCTGATTTTGTGGCTGGAAAAACAACTCAGTCGATGTTCTACTGGGGTCAGTCAGCACGTGGATGGGTAAATAATTTGATTACAAGATTTGTAAATCCCATAGAGGAAAGGCAAGTAAACGAGAAAAGTTCACTGGATCACTTATTAACAGGTTGTGAATGTGTGTATTATGGAAGCGTTACGTAATCGCGTTACTCGCCGGTCGTGGATAGCATCAGTTTTCAGTTGTTGTTGTACGGGCGCAAACCCTATAGGGTTTTCCCAATGAAAAATTTGAATGAAAAAATTTCAAAGTAGCATGATGCATTTTTTTATGAACATGCAAAATGAGTGCATTTATTTTGATGATTGAGTTGATGCCTTTACCCAACCATTCAAAAGACACCGGGGGAACTGGAGCAACATTGACGTATGACGATTTGGCAGTCCAGTAAATTTTCTAGATCAACTGATAAACACTGAGCAGACATAACCAGGCTCCAAAATAACTTTATGGAAGAAAAGAGGCTCAATTTAGCAAATCCGTGCTATCTAACTGATGAATTTATCAAGAAACTATTAAAATTATCTCCGAATTTGTAATTATAACCATTCAAAGTTCATTATTTTCGACAACTAGATAAAAACGCTAGTCTCTCAGTTCAGGTCAGTTCAGTTTGTACAGTCATTAACCATGCACCGTTGTGCGGCAACTTTGGTTGCTGTCTTTTAAGCTGCTCATTTGGATGAAGAATAGGAGACAACTCTGGAAGGCCGGATTCTTTTTGTTTAAACTATTCTATTACGAACTAGTGAATTATTGGCTCAAAATATTTTGACTGATTACTAGGAAATAAATAATTTATAATTTGTAACCAGGCTCGGAATTTTTGCCGTGTTGTTTTGACCGTATGACAGATTCCGGATGCGAAAACCGTTACAAGTTGCGGCCATATCAAATTAACTTAAAAGAAAGAGTGGCACAAAGATCTCTACTCTCAGACTAGGGTACAACACCGTTGACATACTGTTAATGAATACGAACAAAGACAAAACGCCTGTAAATTGCTTTTCCTTGAACATCAAATACACGATTCTGAAATAGAAATGGATGAATGAATGAAGAATGCATAGAACTATGGTCATATACAAGTCAAGCAAGCAATTACATATATAATAATCATATTGATTTAGGAAATTTTTCACCTACAGCAGGTCACCGGATTTGATGAACTTTGAAGAACATGTCTTTACCCGGTGGCGCGAACGATCCGGGTGAAAACTGATTCAAAAAAACCAGTATAATTAATTATTACCTTAGGAACAGGACGATTTCGGAGAGTTGGCGGTCTACCAAGACGTAACCAGTTGTCTGAATTGAGCAAACCTCCACAATCGCCTTGGTATTGTCCGTTTGTAGTTCTATATGTCAGTACGTTGGCATCCACAGCTTGGCGTACCCGTCTTCGAACCGCACTCGATGCTAGATTGGAGAAACAATGAAATTGTTTTAGGAGTTCTTCGCTCTAAATTTCAGTGTCATCCTCAAATCATAGGGTCTAGGTGAGGCTTGTTAGATCTTGATTGATAAATCAAACTAAAATAGCGTGATGCATAAATAATCAGGGTAGATAAAATAATTTTTTTCCAAGAGACTATCCTAAAGGACAATAGTTTAATTCGCGTTCAGAACATAAACCTCACTGATCCGCTCGAATTGCAATCTTATGACTTTATATTATTGTAAAAGTCAGGCAGTCACGATGATACCAGTTATCAATTATTTACTCATATATATATATATATACATCAAAATGTATACGTATTACACTGTTTGAATTAACTACAGAGAGAACAAAATAGAATTGTAGTTCAATGATCAAATCGTGTTCACATCGATCATCTGATGTAAACATTGGTTTGGGTCATGACTGGAAAAGGTGAATGCATGCATCGAATGCGGTGATGGAGAAGCCAGAACGAAAGATCTTATAAGCTACTTTGGAAGTGTCGAAGCGTAGAGGATGGGAGCAGATTGTGTTGGCGAGTTCTAAACACTTCTGATACGGCCAAGACACGATATCTAATGCCTAAGATTGGTGACTGGCAAACAAACAGAGGAAGCGAAATGTTGCAGGCACACTAACCACGCTGTTTGACTCCACGACGTATAAAACAATCAAATAAATGATGGATCTGACCAATGCATTCGGAGCCAGTTAAGATAGTACTAGCAGACTTTCGAAGATAAATCTCTGTCTTTGCTATCGATACAGGTTGAATCAAAGTGGTGTTTACAGAAAAAGAGACTTCAGACTCAGGAAATTACAATATTGGTTTGGAAACACAAAATTGACATGAGGACGAAAAGATTAGGACCCCGTACCGCTAAAGTTTATTCTCACAGCTATTGTCTCCCAAGTAGTATCCACTTTCATAGGTAGTGATTTGTCGCCCATGATTCGTTGCAGAGTTTAGGTTCCAAAACTTTCAGAAAAAGGAGGAGGATTAGTCATTTATCTTATGTTTTCTTGTATTATTTATTATACGTTTTAAGGTAATGCAAACATTCTTACATCCTTAAAAGAGATGTATCAGGATTTAGCTAAAAATTCGTTATACCAAATAAAATACATTTCAATTTAAAACCCAAGGTACACTGAATCCACCATATTAGAATCGAGGTATAGCAATGGACTACTGTTTGGATAGAGAAGCCAAAACATAGGTTTGCATGACGTATTCTGGATCATTTCACTACATCTGTACACGTGTATACTGCGGTCTATGTGATCAATATTAATATACGGTCAGTAAATAACAGAATCATAGGAGGAGAAAGATTGCCGTCAAAATTACTCACCAAACACATTTGTTACGAAGTTAAGGCCATAGTCATAAGCCATTAACTACTACTACTACTACTACTACTACTACTACTACTACTACTACTACTACTACTACTAGTTATTGTTTTACATTTCAAAAGGAATCTTGTTTGAAAATCTGTGCGGCTGTCCCACGGTAAACACAAATCTCTGAACGGTTAGCATTCCGAGGATAACCTTATCTAATAAATCCTATTTCCCTTTTAATTGTATTCAGTGTGCATATTCCCCGATCTCAAGCAGCTGAGTATTGAATCAGTTTCATTTTTTGTGCCACCGGAACAAAAGCCTTTGAAAACGAACAATCCGGTCAGTTCTCCAATGGCCTCCTGTGGAGTTAGCGCTGAAGATCTCCATCTAACTAACATGTTAGTGAAATCCTCATTTTACTGTTGGGTCACACGAACTGACTGACTATTACTGAAGACAACGTTTGGAACAAACTTGAAATGCCCCATTCGGTTCAGCCGTGGTATGAGCTGGTTGGCACAGTGGTAACACACACACGCCTTCCGTGAGATGGTTCCGGAGTCCAAATCCCGGACGGGACGAAGGATATGCCTTACTGATGAGCTCTTGAGCGAACGAAACTCGAATTTAGTTGTTTCGGGTGTATGGTTAAATCGATTAATCGAGGATTGTTTGAAAGGATGAAATCCGAAGTATAGTCAGTTCAAGTCGATCAATTAAAGGACTTCCATACACAGGAATCTTGTAGGTTGGGCTGCTGTGATTGGATTCGAGCACACGTACTCGGAAGAGGTACTTTGATGTTCTTAACCAATTAATCACTGCCAGTCGGTTTTTACATCTCTAAATCTTAGAACTGTCTCCAATGTAAATGTCATTCCATGTACAATTCATGCGATGTTATGCCCAATTAGTTGCAAGGTCTGATATGAATTCGAACTGTACTTAATCCATCTACTTATTATATTCGTACCAAAATACAAGGTACGACTCTAACTAACCACAGTAGATGCTTAAATCAAAATCAAAACTTAAGCAACCCCGGGGTGAAATTTAGCTCCCAAATACAGGCACGTTTTTCAGGCAAAATCATCCAGATTAGTAATTTAAACCGACTCAAAAGTTTGTACTTTTATGTCTTACCAAAATCAATAATTTAAGGTCATGCATCGATCAAAAAAGAATCATACATCACCGTTACGTGTCCTCTTGACTACCTTTTAATCAGAGCAAATTATACGCTGCATTATTCGTGTTCACTTTTCACGTGTTTTCCATTCTAGCTAGTGGCAACCCTTCTGTCCGTAAATGTGCAGACAATGTTCGTTTGGGTACGCTGTATCAACATGTTCTCGTTCGTTCGTTCTACTTCACGGACTGACTTATCACGCCCATCGTACTCGTCTAATTGTTATATTTTGCATTTGAATGTATCCATTTGTGCGGAAATTGTGTTCATTTACACCAATAAATATGAATTCCATGAGCTGTTTGAACCTCTTCGTAATCTTCTTATTCACGTGTTAGTTCCATTGCCGAAGACTTCACTAATCAAGCTGTACAGATGGAAAGTTAACTGGTAATCTTGTACGGTCAGACCTCAACTTGTTTCAAAAGCCAGAACGCTTTGCTTCCCGTTTCGATATCTTCTCCACCCCTCACATCTTATTCGACCTTTTCCTTACGCGTCTAAACAGCCGATTTCCGTCATGTTTCTCATTTTATTTGTTTTTGCCTGATCAGCTCACATACTCTCAGATTTGGTGTGCCCCGTAAATATTATACCATGGACGTTTGACCCCATCCAAAGAGCGTAATGATCCAGTGAACTGGATACCGGCTCCCAATGGACTTCGGACTCCGAGCTCCATCCTCTTGTCTTGTGGTCTGACTTTCTAACCAAAGGCTTCGGTTGGGGACCCCGAGGCTATCCCCTTTCCTCGACCAGGGCAACCGAGAAGTAACATGCCTATAAAACCCATGAACACATTCTTCAAACTTCTTATTGTTTATATGTTGTGGCATACTTGCCAGTTCTCTGTAATTGTTTGTGTGTTGTAAAACTATATCATCCGAATCATGTGAACAGACCAAATCCAAATCATCTACCAGACAACCAGCATACCCATACCGCTGACAAAGGAACGCCTGCCTCTGTACACCAATGTGGGTGCGAAGGGACCTACGTGGGCAGAACAGAGCGACAAATACGCAATCGGGTGGTGAAACGTATTCCACCATAGGTCCAAAATCAGATGACCCAATCGAGGTCCGTAGGATAGGAATGACGGTCGAAGCTACAAGACCCCGTCCTGAGCTATTGCTTGACATCTACTGATGACACAACACCAGATCAAACGAAGCACATAATTTCAAATTGTCTACAAGTCTCAAATGGGAATTCGTCGTGTCTTTGGCAAAATGAAGTGTGAACTGAAAAGCCCGGAAGCACTGGACAGCTGTTTCGATCTGGTTGGGTCTCATCAGTGCAGTGCGAATCCATCGATCCAACTGGGGATCGAACCCGGGACTTCATGGGCAGAACACAAGCATGATAAGTAATCAGGTTGTGAATGTTTCCAATCGAGTCATAACTCTGGAGGCTAGTGCTGAGATGAGCAGGGTCTGTGACCCGCAACTAGCTCGCAAAGATGGGTTGTGTTATATCCTGTAAATGGAAAACGGAAAACTGTGTGATCAGCTGCTCGGTGACGTAGTGGGTAGCATGCTTTCGTTCCGCCCATGAAGTCCCGGGTTCGATCCCCAGTTGGGTCGGTGGATTCGCACTGCTGATGAGA